CAAGGAACCAACTACAAAAACGCAATGCACTTCTTACTAGCCTAACTGAGGTGTAGTTTGCAAACTATAAAAGTTCCTCCTTTTTTTTTTAAGATTTTATTTGGGGCGCCTGGGTGCCTCAGTCGTTAAGCATCCGCCTTCGGCTCAGGTCATGGTCCCAGGGTCCTGGGATCGAACCCTGCATCGGGCTCCCTGCTCCACAAGAGGCCTGCTTCTCCCTCTCCCACTCCCCCTGCTTGTGTTCCTGCTCTCGCTGTGTCTCTCTCTGTCAAATAAATAAATAAAATCTTTGTATCTGACAGAGAGAGAGGAGAGCACAAGCAGGGGGAGGAGCAGATTGCAGACTGAGCAGGGAGCCCGACGCGGGGCTCGACGCGGGGCTCGATGCGGGGCCCTGGGACCATGACCTGAGCCGAAGGCAGATGCTTAACCACTGAGCCACCCCAGGTACCCCCTTCTTTTTTTTTTTAAGCTTTTATTTTTAAGTAATCTCTGCACCCAATGTGGGGTCCAAACTTACAGCCCCGACATCGAGAGTTGCACGCTCCACCAACTGAGCCAGCCAGGCGCCACCTTAAACATTTTGATTTATCATATATTTTATATTTTTGTAGCACAATGATAATTACATATTGTGAAAATGACATATATTACATAAATTATTTATTAATTCGTGGTCTGTTTTTGCTTCTATTAAATCCCAATTTATTCCATTTAGGTTAGTACAAGATCTGACTACATTATGTCTTCTAGATGACAGGGTGTAAACATTTACTTATTGAAAACATATTTTATAATAAAAATTTGTCCCATTATTCTTTCTTTTTATTCCAATTAAGGTAACTGTATTGATTCTTTTAAAGTATGTATATAAGTGAGTCCTCTTTTTTTTAAGATTTTATTTACTTATTTGAGAAAGAGAGAGAACACAAGCAGGGGAAGCTGCAGGCAGAGGGAGAAGCAGACTCCCCACCAAGCAGGGAGCCCGATGAGGGGCTTGATGCGGGGCTCGATGCGGGGCTCGATCCCAGGACCCTGGGATCATGACCTGAGCCGAAGGCAGACGCTTAACGACTGAGCCACCCAGGGGCCCTATAAGTAAGTCCTCTTATTTTTACATTTGTTTCAGCACAGGAACGAGTGTGTTAGGAAATACTTGTTATGGAGAGGAGTGCTCTGGCTTTTGGGCTGAGACCTCCAGGGATGGAGAGCAGAGCTGAGCGGCCCCTCCCAGCTGAGAGTCAGTCATCCTTGCCCCCCGGGGAATTCTCGAGGTGGGTTCACTGGGAAGCTGCGGGCCTTAACCCCTGCCTTTGGAGAAAAGGATCCAGAGATGCTACCACGTAGCCAGCATTAGCAGCCAACATGGGCTTCAACTTGGGTGAGAAGAACACGCCGTGAAGACAAGGGACAACTGAAGGCAGTGCGAGCACCACAGCTTTTGAAAACCACCAGCGCCTAGCGTAGCGTCTGGCACACGAGAGGTGCTCAGGAAACACGTGGTGTGTGTCGTGGGATTCTGGACGTGAATCCAGTGTCTACCACGGAATGGCCACTGGACTTTGGGCAATTTAATTACCTTTCAGAGTCTTAGGTTCCTCATCTTTTTTTTTAAAGATTTTATTTATTTATTCATGAGAGACAGAGAGAGAGAGAGGCAGAGGGAGAAGCAGGCTCCCAAGGAGCAGGGAGCCCGATGTGGGACTCGATCCCAGGACCCCGGGATCATGACCTGAGCCGAAGGCAGACGCTTAACCAACTGAGCCACCCAGGCACCCCCAGGTTCTTCACCTTTAAAATGGGGAAAACAGGGGAGCCTGGGTGGCTCAGTCCATTAAGTGTCCGACTTGGGATTTCGGCTCAAGTCGTGATTTCAGGGTCCTGGAATCAAGCCCCACATCAGGCTCCGGGCTCAACATGGAGTCTGCTTGTTGTCCCAACTCCCCTTCTCTCTCTCTGTCTCTAAAATAAATAAGTAAATAAAATCCAAAAACTAAATAAATAAGATGGGGAAAATTGTAGTATCTGCCTTGTGAGAACAAAATGAGACAGCGAACATAAAGTAGCATAGAATAAGCACTCCATAAATATTAGCTCTTATTATAACCAATTTGATTTATTTGTTCATTAATTAATTTAATTTAATTTAATTTTTTTAAAGTAATCTCTACACCCATCATGGGGCTTGAACCCAGGACCCCGAGATCAAGAGTCACACACTATACAGACTGAGCCAGCCAGGCATCCCTCCAACTTTATTTATTTATTTTTAAAGATTTTATTTATTTATTTGCGAGAGAGAGAATGAGAAATAGAGAGCACGAGAGGGAAGAGGGTCAGAGGGAGAAGCAGACTCCCTGCCGAGCAGGGAGCCCAATGTGGGACTCGATCCCGGGACTCCAGGATCATGACCTGAGCCGAAGGCAGTCGCTTAACCAACTGAGCCACCCAGGCACCCCCTCCAACTTTATTTAAAAAATAAAATATAAAAGCCTCAAGAGCAAATCACATTGTGAGAGAAATCTGAAAGATGAGATGGTGTCTGTGCTGGAAAAATAATTTTTTAAGACTTTTATTTTTTTAAGCAATCTACACTCAGCATGGGGCTCAAACCCACAACCCTGAGATCAAGACTCACATTCTCCAGGGACTGGGCTGGCTGGTCGCCCCCATGCCGGAGAACGTTTACCTTCAAACTGAAGGGTAAGACAAAGAAACAGCAGACTTACAAGCTCTGCGCTGCCTGCCTAGTGACACAGGACAGGGCCCGGGGGCTCTGTGGCTACGAGCCAGTGGGCAGGGCCAGATGCAGTCCGCACTCAACACATGCTGTGGAATGGATGAATCGGAGGGCCCTAAGGTGTCGGGTGTCGATGCCCAGCCGCCCCCCCGCCCCGCCCTGAGAGCAAGGCCTCTGTAGGAGCAGCACTTCCCAGAGAAGCAGGAAGCTGAGTCGGGCAGGTGCTGACCTGCTGATGAGGATTCAGTTCAGTTCAACACTTTGGCACCTGCCCACTCTGTGCTTGGCCATCTGCATAGACTGAGTAAGACGTGCCTTCACGGAATTAAACACAGACCTCACCTGTTGCAATATTTGGTGCCAAGCAGTGTACTAGACACACATTATCGTGCTTAGAGCTCTCAACAATTCTGTGAGGTTGAGTTGCCACTCCCTTTTTTTTTTCCACAGCCTTGGGGGGAGGGGCGCAGATGTCCAGACCCTGTCCCGGGCACCTGTCCCCCCGGGCACCTGTCCCCCCACCACCGGCACCTGTCCTCCCGGGCACCTGCCCGTGCTGCTTCTAAATAGACTCTAGAAACCCTCACGGACTCTACTCATCCTCCTCTGGGCCGAAGCCAATGCCCCTTCTGCCCTGAGAGAGGGAGCTGGGTCAATGTCCTCCCAGCCAGGAAAGTAGGACGGAGAAGGGCTACGAGCTGGGTTCTCCACATGCAAAGACTCACTGCTTCTTTTGGGGGGTGAAACTACTCCCAAACAAGACTGAAAATGTGTTGGGAAAAACCACTGGAAGGCTCTCTGCCGCAAGAAGATCATGACCGTTTCTCTTGAACCACTTTAGCGCCGTCCCCCGCTACCACAAATTATGCAGTCGAGTTTCCCACATTTGGGGAAATTGCAGGGGTCGGCACATCAGGAGTGTAACGAATATGGCTCAGCATGATGAAGACGTTGATTGAAGGTCAAACACCCAGTACGTGGCAGAGCTGGGACTCAGACTCGGCTTGTCTCCCTGAGACGAGGCTCAGTGTTCTAGGAACCTAGAAGAAAGAATCAATTTTGCCTGGACTGTGTCTGGAAAGTCTTCACTGAAGTAATTAAACCGAAAAGACACCACAAAGAAGCGGTTCCTGAGCACCTACTAGGCTCCAGGCACTGCATTTATCTTACTGATCCAGGAGTGACCCTGGCGGGGGTGGTATTGCCTCCATTTTATAGATGAGCAATTGGCGCCAAGAGCTACAGCTGGTCAGGTCCTAGCTGGGCGTGTCCCTCCCGCTAAATCATAGGCGCTGTGGTCCAGGAGCCATCATCATTGACAGCCCCCTTCTCACATCCACCGAGGATACAGCTGTGTACACTTTCCAGTTTCTGAAACTCACAACCTCCTTGTTCTTCGGGAAAGGAAGACCGGTTATGACAGTCCTCATCTGATGACAAAACATGTCCCAAGAGGCACGATGTTGATGACTCCCTCCGTCCAGCTGTGCAGGCCCTCTGCCCAGGGCCCTTCCTCCCTGCTCTTCCGCCCCTTCTCCTCCGTGAAGACTTCCTGGGTCACTCCCACCATGAACACCTGTTAGCTCATCTTTATCTGTAACTATCCATGTACGCGTCCAACTCCCCTGCCTCTAGAGCTTCTGGAGGGCAAACTGTACCTTAGCCATCTCCCATCATTTATTTATTTGAGAGAGAGAATGAGATAGATATATATATAGAGAGAGAGAGAGAGCATGAGATGGGGGAGGGTCAGAGGGAGAAGCAGACTTCCCGCTGAGCAGGGAGCCCGATGCGGGACTCGATCCCGGGACTCCAGGATCATGACCTGAGCTGAAGGCAGTCGCTTAACCAACTGAGCCACGCAGGCGCCCCTTTAATTTATTTTTTAAGTAAGCTCCGTGCCCAACATGGGGCTTGAACTCACGACCCCGAGATCAAGAGTTGCACACTCTGCCGACGGAGCCAGACAGGCGCCCCAACTTTATTAGGTATAACTTAAAATTTATTTCTCAAAAAAGCAGTGTGCCTGCTGTGGCTCCCATCCTCTGGGATTCAGGAGCCTCGACCCAACCGTCCACTCAGATCTTTGATCTAGATTCTTCCTAAAGTTGTCATCCACACAAGCCTTCCAGAGTTTCACAGGATGAATAATCGCCAACAGCCAGGAGGAAGCGAGCCGCCCTTTACAAGTATGGTTGCAGTTGCCTCACTTCCTGTGTCATGTGACTCGCCCATAGTCGTCACATGACCCATTCACCTCTTCGGCCGGAATTAAACCTGCAGGGCTCATTCGGTGTCTAAAGCTGCCCGCCAGTACCTGCATCCCTGCTTTGATTTAGTGGATCCTCTATCCTTCCGAGGCTTGAACCCTGCAGTCCCCTCACCTGGTGATGGAGCTTTCAAGTTCTCCCAGAGAGGTGAGTGGGCCCAGGCTCCCCGCCGGTCCTGTCACGCTGCTTCTGGAATCCTGGCCGTCCGGACCCTGGAATTCAATGAATGACAGTCTCCTCCAGCCCAGGCCATCATGGCTCTTCCACGGAGGGGCCGATGGAGCGGGGGAGGGAGAGGCGGTGGGAAGAGGGGAGGAGAAGGGTCCTGGTTGGGGTGGGCCTTGTTCTGTCCCTGTTAAAGGAGGGTGGGAGACTAGGCTCTGGGCACCCAGCCCACAGGAGAGCGGCTGGGGCGTGGAGAGGGGCTTGCCTTCTAGCCAGTCGTCATATTCTGTTCTCAGGAATGTCCCCGGCCCCTGGGCAGGGTAGGCATCATGGCTGCTAGCCTCACGGGATTTCTTCTACTTCAGGCAATATCGTGGGCATCAGGTGAGCGAGTCACGGAGAGGGGAGGGAGCCCCCCGCCTCCCTCTGCCTGATGGTCCTTGGTCCCCTTCCGGCACACAGGAGCACCAGTGGGTGTGGAGTAAACCCTTCTGAGTGACTGAGACCAAGCTCGGGTGGGAGCACAGCGAGAGGAGTTTTGAAACCCGTGTTCAGTGTGTCCTTCCGACCAGTGTGTCCCTTCTCTGTCTTCGTCCCGTAGCCCTAGCCTCTGCGTGTGCTCCTTCCCTCCCAGGTGCCCGGCCCTGCAGCCCTAAAAGCTTTGGCTACAGCTCAGCGGTCTGTGTCTGCAATGCCACGTACTGTGACTCTCTCGAGCCCCTGACCCTGCCTGCCCCCGGCACCTTCAGCCGGTATGAGAGCACGCGCAGCGGGCGCCGAATGGAGCAGAGCCTGGGGACCATCCGGGCCAACCGCACAGGCACAGGTGACCACGGCATCCCCGCCCCCAGAGCAGGCTGGAGTCCCCCCCGCAGCTGTCATGCCAGTGACCACCCCGACTTTCTTCCCTGCTCACTGAGACCCTTCGTTCCCTGTGCGTGTTCTCAGGGCTGCTGCTGACCCTGCAGCCAGGCCAGACGTTCCAGAAAGTGAAGGGCTTTGGAGGGGCCATGACAGATGCAGCCGCTCTCAACATCCTCGCCCTGTCACCCCCTACCCGGGATTTGCTACTCAAATCCTATTTCTCTGAAGAAGGTGAGGAGAAGGGGGACAAGATGACAGTGTGACTGGCACCCTGACCTTTCCGTTGACCATGACTTCCACGCATCCCTGACATTTGGGTCCTCTCTCAGTGCCCAGTGAAGTAAGAGTGTCCCACCTACCTCTCACTGAGTGCATAGGGATGCTGAGGCTCAGAAGGCCTGGCTCTACAGGCCCCAGCCCAGGAGCCCAGGCTCCCTTTGGCCTGCCTCGGACATCACTTAGGACTGGCAGGGGGTAGGCCAGGTCCCACACTCTCCTGCTGACCCAGACCCTCCTGTCTTGGCCTTGCCTTCCTGCAGGGATCGAATACAACATCATCCGGGTCCCCATGGCCAGCTGTGACTTCTCCATCCGCACCTACACATATGATGACACTCCTGACGACTTCCAGCTACGTGGCTTCAGCCTCCCTGAGGAGGACGTCAAGCTCAAGGTGGGCACTCGGCCTGGCGGAGTCGATGCCTGCCGGGTGAGAAGCCTCAGGCCAGAGCAGTCTGCGGAGAGACGCAGAGCCTGCCCCCGGCTCTGTTGTGTTCTGGGGTTGGGGGGGGGGCAGGGCGGGGGCTGATGGCTAGGCCTGATGCACTGGTCGGGCCAGTCTGTCCATATTCCAGCTCTGGGTATCTCTCTCCTCACCTCCACTGTCTCCAGATACCCCTGATTCACCAAGCCCTGAAGCTGGCCCGGCGCCCCGTGTCACTGTTCGCCAGTCCCTGGACGTCACCCACGTGGATGAAGACCAACGGGGCCGTGAATGGGAAGGGGTCACTCAAGGGTCGGCCTGGGGATCTCTACCACCAGACCTGGGCCAGATACTTTGTGAAGTAAGGGAGCTGCAAGGCCATGGGGTCTGGACCAGCTCCCCTCTTGGACACCCTCGTCTCTGCCCCACCCCTGGACCTGGGTCACCCCCAGATTGGACTCCTCAGACCACCTTTCTACCTTCTGGGCCTTTCAGACTTGGCCTGTCAGTTTCCCCCCCTTGATGGGCCTCCTGTTTCCCAGGGTCTTGGTCCCCTTTCTTGGCCCGGGCTCACTCACACTCTTTGCCCTGCTAGGTTCCTGGATGCCTATGCAGAGCACAAGTTACGGTTCTGGGCAGTGACGGCAGAGAACGAGCCCTCTGCAGGGCTGCTCAGTGGGTACCCCTTCCAATGCCTGGGCTTCACCCCTGAACACCAGCGAGACTTCATCGCCCGGGACCTGGGTCCTGCCCTTGCCAACAGTACGCACCGCGACATCCGTCTGCTCATCCTGGATGACCAACGCTTGCTGCTGCCTCACTGGGCCCAGGTGGTAAGGCCCAGGGCCTCCAGGAGTATCCCGGTGACTCCCAAACCGAGCATCCAAGTGGCTAGCGCCCAGAGTGTCTTCCCTGCCCCAGCTCTGGGTTCCTAGAATTCCCTGCCTGGAGCCAGGTGCCCAGGTGGCTCCCCTGGGGTGCTAACCTCCTCTGGATCTCCAGGGCCCCAGGGGTCCCCAGGGTTGTCACCTGGAGCCCCTCTAGTCGCCTGCACCCCACTGCCCATTTCTCAGGTCCCGGTGCTACTTCCAGAACCTTCCACGCAGGGCCCAGGTTCAGTGGCCCCTGTCCCCTCTTTGCCCTTCCCGGTAAAGGTGCTGGCGGACCCGGATGCAGCTAAGTACGTCCATGGCATTGCTGTACACTGGTACCTGGACTTTCTGGCTCCAGCCAAAGCCACCCTGGGGGAGACACACCGCCTGTTCCCCAACACCATGCTCTTTGCCTCTGAAGCCTGTGTGGGCTCCAAGTTCTGGGAGCAGAGTGTGCGCCTAGGCTCCTGGGACCGAGGGGTGCAATACAGCCACAGCGTCATCACGGTGAGGCCCCGGGCCCCCCGCCGAGCACCACCGCAGCCCCTCCTGGTCTCACCAAGGGAAGGCCTCTTCATCAACCGTCCCTTGCCAACTTGCTCTTTGGGGCAAATTTTGGGATCTCGTGATTCCCTATCATGCCTTCCCTCCTGGATGGGCACGCCCCATCTGCCTCAATTTCTCAGCTTCTCTTCCGATGCCTCCGTCCTCACCCCCCCCCCCCGCCGCTGAGTACCGAGGGTGTAGAGCACCCATCACGGGGCAGGGCACCCCGTCACCTGTCTTCCTCACACAACCCTTAACGACATTGTCTGGGGACCCTGTGTGGAGCGTTTGTTTCTGCCCTGCTCCCACTCCAGAACCTCCTCTACCATGTGGCCGGCTGGACCGACTGGAACCTCGCCCTGAACCTGGAAGGGGGGCCCAACTGGGTGCGCAACTTTGTGGACAGCCCCATCATCGTCGACATCACCAAAGACACGTTTTACAAACAGCCCATGTTCTATCACCTCGGCCACTTCAGGTGAGTGGAGGGTGGGCTGCCTGGCATCTCCTGCACGGGCCCACAGCGCCCCCCATGGGGGTGGGCACTGGGGGGAGGCACCGTGGTTCCCCCCCGCCCCCCGGGGCAGGAAGTGAGCAGGTGGCGTCAGCAGACACTGGGGATGGGAAGTGAGGGCGCAGCTTTGGCTGGGGCTCTGGGGGTGGGCAGGGGGAGTGACTTGTCAGGTGAGCGAGAAGGGAGTGGGTCCCGGCCTGAGCACACGTGCTCCCACCTCAGCAAGTTCATTCCGGAGGGCTCCCAGAGAGTGGGGCTGCTGGCCAGCACGAAGAGCGGCTTGGACGCTGTGGCCCTGACACGTCCCGACGGCTCTGCGGTCGTGGTGGTGCTGAACCGGTGAGAGCGGCAGGGCCAGGGGTGGGGGGGGCCGGAGAGTGGGGGCCGGACGGCGGCCTCCGCAGGCTCAGTGCTCAGCTTCTCGTCCCCCCGCCCCTTTGCCAGCTCCCCCAAGGACGTGCCTCTCACCATCGAGGACCCTGGCGTGGGCTTCGTGGAGACGCTGTCCCCGGGCTACTCCATCCACACCTACCTGTGGCGCCGCCAGTGACGGCCTGGGCTCGGCGTGGGCATTAAAGGGACAGAGTCGGCTCACATGCTGTGTGTGGCTGAGGAGGCTCTAGGAGGGCCGGGGTGAGCATAGGTGACGTAAGCCCGGGAGCAGTGGTTCGGGTGACTCACTCTCCCCCTGGCTGGTGCCGGGGGCTGGAGGCCCCTCGGGAGAGGACAGGGCAGCCCCAGCGGCCCCACCCCCGTGCTGTGTGCCGGCTCCGTGGAAACTGGGCTGGGGCCCAGGGTGAGCTCACTGTCTGGACAAACACAAGCTGGGGGTGGGGGGCGGCTGAGGAAAAGAGGGCACGAGGGTGGGCCCCACACGGCCCCCTGCACAGCAGCCAGGAAGGACGACGGCCCCATAAGGAAGAGAGTGTCTGATTCCAGTCAGCGTGGACAGGTTTATTACGGGAATGGCACCCCACTTCCAGCCGTACTGGCAATGGGGAAACACGGGGACCTCTGGAATGTACGATAGTAGAAAAATCAGTCCCAGGGGCGTGAGGACAAGTCACTCCTCTTCATCCTCCTCAGCCATGCTCAGGGACCGCGTACCCGGGGCCCGAGCAGGCGTTGCCCGTTGGATAGAGACAATGCCACTGAGCAAGGCGTAGCCCACCATGGCTGCCAGGCCCGCCAGCACGGAGAGGATCTGGTTCCGGCGCCGGTACGGTTCCTCCTCAGTCTCCGGGCCCGCTGGCGTCTGGCGTGGGGGTGGCACCTCAGCTGAGGAACAAGGAAGGAAGGTGGGGGTGGGGGGCTAGTTCCTGGACTCCTGCCCACTTTCCCCAGGGCTGGTGCCCACCCCTTCCCCCGTCTGCCCCTTACCTCCATCCCAGGGGAAGTAGAGGCTGAGGATGTGTGTGCAGTAGGCGCAGAGGTTCTGCAGCCCCCGCAGGTGGGCCTGCAGCTTCCCGCTGGGCAGCTTGGCCTGCAGCAGCAGGGCCAAGTAGCCGAAGACAAAGGCGTCCAGGGAGGCGGGGCTGGAGCAGAGAGAGGGCAGGAGGAGAGACTGGGGCAGACGGGGTGGGGAAAGAGTGGGAGGAAGAGCAGGCCCTGGGAGGGGGCCTCTGGCAGCAGAGGGCCCCCGGGGGAGGAGAGGACACCCGGGTCTGGACCTGGCGTGGGGAGGGCTCCCCAGGCGGCGCCAGCCTGGCCCTGAATGGCACTCTATCCTGGGGCTGCATAAAGGGCACATTGAGCACCCCACAGCCCTGCAGGCCCCCCCGTGCCTGGCAGCCCTCCCACCTCACACACAGCCCCACTGTCATCAGGCCCAGTGTCTGTCCCAAGGACCTCTCGTCTGGCGCCGAGCCACCCCAGTCCCCGCAGCGACATATGAACCCCATCTTCTCCCAAACCGCCTATCTTTCCCCTGGAGGCAGACTCACGCATCTCCGAAGAAGAACTTCTGAGAGCCCAGGCGCTGGGAGAGCAGGGTCAGGCATTCCCGAGCCTCTTGGTACAGCTGTAGGGAGGACACGAGGCAGGCTCGCGGCTGCAGGAACAGAGCCACCTCCCAGCCTGGGCAGCCCCATTCCTGACCATCGTCTTCGGGGCTCCTCTCCTACAGCAGCCCCCTGCCCCAGAGGTACCTCCTTCTCCAGCTCTTCCTCATTCTCAGGCCCGTGCTTCCCGCCCAGCAGCTGCAGCCGCTCCATGAACTGCCGCTGCATGCGGCCGGGAAGGAAGAAGTTCAGGGGAAAGGGCATGGCCTCCGCATACCACTTCCGGGTCACTTCCACATAGTTCTTGGTGTCCACCCAAAAAGTATGTATCTGGATTGGGGAGGTAAGAAGGATGAAGCAGGTCTGAGCCAGTGTAGCTGCCTGACTTAGGCTGGGCTTCTGTGCTGCCCTGGCCTCCGTGTGTGTGTGTGTGTGTGTGTGTGTGTCCGTGACTCCCCCCACCCCACCCCCACTGCCCTGGCGTCCGTGTGTGTGTGTGTCCGCGTGTGTGTCCGCGACCCCACCCCCACCCCCCCACCTTACTGGCCACAAACGCTGGGAGGTCTGGGCGCACTCACCAGCACCGGGAGCAGCTTCTCCTCCAGCAGAGACATGAAGGCCAAGGTGTCTGCCCCTTGCCGGGCTGACAGATCATAGTCAGCGTTGTACTTCTGTGGAGGAGATGCCCATGAGGTGGACACCAGGCGGCTCCAGGGCAATTCCCCAAGGAGGGAGGCATCCTGTCTGGTGCTACCCTCACGGCCTCTGAGTGTAGCAGAGGCAGAGCAGCTTTTCCCGTTGAGGCCCCCTTGCCTGGGCCCGTTCAGTAGCCTGTTGCTGTTGGCGGAAAGCCTGGGCCTCGGAGCCTGCTGGCCATCAAGGTCGGGTGCCCACTGGGGGGAGAAAGGCAGGCCCAGCCGCAAACCAGGAGCAGCTCCCGGAGCCTCCACAGAAAGCTGGCAGCCTGCCTGCTGACGGCAACTTTCTAACAGGAACTTCCCCAGTCCAGGCACCACACGGCTGGCAGAGTGGAGCTCAGATGCTGTGTGGGCCTCAGTCCATGCCCCAGGAACTAGGGGATGCCTTCCTCATGCCCAGGGCCCCCTGGCTCGTTCTCTCAATGCCCAGGGCTATTTCTTCTATTTCATTCCATGGCCTGGGCACCACCACACACATTCTAACCGTACCCCAGGTCTCAGCCTGCCACACCTTTGTAGGCTCCAGTGTCTGGTCCTCAGCAACCCTCTCCACATCCTGAGCAAGTTTTGTCCCCACATAACCTCTGGAACATGATCCTTAAAAAAAAAATCTCTCTGAGCCTCAGATTCTCCCCTGTAGAATCTTCTCTCAATGTGGCTGTGTTAGGAGAACACTCTGGAAACTGGAAAAGCTGTGCTCACACATAAGGAATCAGGGCGGTGGTCCAGTCCCTGCCAGGAACTTTGCATTCTACCTGGATCCCCTCTCTCCATGCCTCCCAAGCCCCCACTGAATTCCCCAGCTCCTTCACCCTTCGGAAAGCAGAAATGAAGAAGAGGGCCCCGCTTCTGACAAGTGTTCCCATGAAAGAGGAGCCATTGGGAACATCCTAAAGCCCCCTCCTTTCACAAACAAGGAACTTAAAGCTCTCAGAGGGGCGCCTGGGTGGCTCAGTCGTTAAGTGTCTGCCTTTGGCTCAGGTCATGGTCCCAGGGTCCTGGGATCGAGCCCCGCATCGGGCTCCCTGCTCAGTGGGGAGTCTGCTTCTCCCTCTCCCACTCCCCGCTGCTTCTGTTCCCTCTCTCTCTGTCCAATAAATGAATAAAATCTTTAAAAAAATAAATAAAAAATAAAGCTCTCAGAAGTGAAGGAACTTGCCCAAGGTCCCACAGTCAAGTACAGAGGGAAGAGCATAGACGAGGTAGCCCTCGTCCTCTTGTAATACTGCCTCCACCTCCCCACGCTGGCTTGAAGCCTTGTCCATCCTAAGCCCCATATCCAGCCCAACCTGGTCCCGTGAGGACAGGAGCCACCTTTGAGGGCCTCATCTGAGCCAGATGTTCTCTTCTGCCCTCCTGTCCCTTCCCTGTGTCATCAGCCCATTCACCTCTCCCTCCCTGCCCAGCAGGCAAAAGGCACTGTGCCTCCAGATGCCTCCCCAGCGCCCTGGCTTCGTGCCCAGTGCTTTACTGCTCTCAGCACCTCTGGGTGCGTCTCTCCCATCGGACTGTGTTCCTTGAAGCTCTGGGTCTCTTGCGTCTAGCTCGATATTTATCAATAAAGGTGTGTTGCACTGAAATGACTGAACCACTCTTACTGGCAGCCCTCCTTCCCGAGCCACCTACCTCTTTTCGAAGGTGGGTGATGATCTTGTGTGGTACCGAGATGACCTCTCCATGACTGGTCCGGAGGGCAGGCAGAGTTCCTGACAATGAGAAAAAAAGGCGCCCACCAGACCCTTAGCGGCCTATCCATACGGATTTACACCACATTCCTGTCCGTCTCCTGCTCCACCCCTTCCTCACCCCCCAGGAACATGGGGTACCTGAAGGGCTCTGCCAGGGGCTGGTGATCTTGTGCACCTTGAGTGGGGCACCAGTAAATCTGGCATAGGTCTGCAGGGAAGGAAGCAGAAGGCAGAGAGGCCCCCAGAGGGCGTCAGGAAGAGAAATAACATCTATTTAATTCCTTTTGTGCTACGCTTAGTACCTGCCTCAGAGAAGAAGAGGTGGGTGTTACGATTGCCATTTCACAATGGGCAACACAGGGCTCAGAGAGTGTGGGCAGGTCTGCCACTCAAAGCCTCCCCTCTGTCCCCTTTCCTGCCATCTACCTGATGTACACATAGCCTCCTAAGTTCCTCCTAACCAGTATATCCCTTTTCTTGGAAGCACTGACCATGTCCTTCTCTGGGAGTCTCTGTGGCCTGTTCCTACTTAAACCTTAGCACCTGAACACATTGCTGTCTGCCGTTCTGCAAACAACTGCAGGGGAGAAACTAAGTCTTATTCATCTTTGCGTGCCAATGTGCGATATTTGGAAGAGGCCTGATACGTGCTTATTAAATGAAGGATGAGTGAATGAATGAAGTGAACTAGTCTTTCTGACTGCAAAGCTCTTTCCACAGAGCCTGGCGGTAAGCCTTTTGGTTCAATAAATAAGCTCAGTAAATGCTGCTCAGTGAGAAGGAGGAGGAGGAGGAGGCAAGGGAGGCTGAGACGACAGGAATGCCAAGCCCGAGAGCCCGGAGATCGTCCAGGCTCAGTAAACCTCCAGATGAAGAAACCGCGCTCAGAGACGAGAAGGGATCTCCCCAAGGTCACATAGCCAGTAAGTGGATGAGCAAGGACTTAAGACCCATTTCCTGAACCCCCAACCAGGCCTCTTGCTGTGGCTGCACGAAACGTAGGCTGTTAAGCCAGCCATAGGGCACTGAGCCCATATGGGCCAGGCACAGTCTTTGATTGCCTCAGTTTCCCCCAGTGCTCCCGCGCGGAGGCGCCCTGGCAAAATTCGGACGATCGGCCAGTTCGGTTCCCTCCCCAGCCCTCCAGAGCGCAGCAGAGGACAATGGCGCCACCCCTCACCAGCACGGCCAGGCTGTCCAGATCCACTGACGGTAGCCCCCAGCCCCCCGACCAGCAGAACAGCTCCATGGGCGCCGCCATCTTGCCCGCCCTCTGTCCCGGAAGCACCTCCCCTCGCGCTTCCGCCCAGCCCCGCGCGGCCCCCCCCACC